ACTTCCCACTCCTGCCCTCCCTGTACCCGCTGGCCCAGAGCCCGGAGCCCTCAGGTGCTCCGGGGCAGGTTGGCTCTGTAGGTTCCCTAGCGTTCCAAAAAGCAGCTTGGTTTCCAGTTCCTTTCGGGCTGGCTTTTGGAGTACTCTGGGCTGTGGCTTTCTCTGCCTGCCTCATCCATCAACACAATTTCATCTCATTTTTTCATCTAGACATTTGTTGGGTCTTTCATCCACCGGTGAACCCCCTCCTTACCTTTTCTTTTGTGATTAGAGGTTTATTGCTTCTTTTGCCTTACTTAGTTGAGTGTGGTTTTGCAAGCTCTATGTAGTAATCATTTATAGCCTCAATCTACCATCTTAAACTCAAAGTCCTGTTGTAAATTTAAACTGCTATCTATCTGGCTCCTGGGTATTTATTGACCTACCCTGTGTATATTTGTGGCTGCAGTGTCTGTTTAAGCATGCATAATTAGTAAATTATTTCAATAAAATGAAGCAAGAGAATTGGAGAAAATAATTTAGAGGCATTAAGATATAATGGTAAGGGCAGGTGCTGGGGAGTGGGGGGGGGGTGCGCCAGGAAGAGGTCAATGGGGGGGGAAAGACTTATGTAATACTTTAAACAATAAATATAAATTAAATTAAATTAAATTAAATTAAATATAAATTAAAAATATAAATTAAAATAGGATATTTTGGCATCTCCTCCCTCCCCACACCCCCAGGCCCTAAACATTTTGTATAATAGCAACAGTTTATTTTAGTGAAAAAGAAGGAAACTATTCCATTAAAGATTAGAGTCTTAAAGTAGCACCAATTTTGTGCCTCATTTCTTATAAGTCAACAGGATATTACCTGCTATGTACCAGTTAAGTACTGAGCTTGTAGCAATGATGTGATAGAATTTTGTGCATTGTTTGTAGGAGGGGCACTAATAGATAAATAATAAATGATTAAAAAAATATATCAGGTTGCTGTGTGCACAAATAATGAAAGTAGGTGATGCGATAATGAGTGTGAGGACATCTGTGTTGGCCATTTGGTTGGAGAGCCTTGCTGTGGAGGGGCAGGAATTACCTGAGATCCAATAAGCAGGAGCCAGCCAGGCTAACACGGCGCTGGCATTACCATCAGACAGCATATCCTTTCCCCTTTATTCAGTGCTACTCATTCGTTTTGATCATTCTTCTGTCTAATAAAAGGTCTTTATATTAATGTAATGAATTGCTTAAACGTTTCATCAGCTTTTACATAGCACTTTGGTGAAATAGAAAGACTCATGAGATGATTTATTCCCTTAGGACAGAGAAGGGATAAACAAGCTGTTTTAGTCTGTGATAGCAGGATGGTTTCATGAATTTAAAGGCCTTAATTATTATGCTTTAAGTAACAACTTACTTTGCTTCAGTCTGATTCTTAGCTTTCAAGCGGAGTTCTTCCTTTGATATGTTGTGTTGCTATTCTGGTGCTTGTCATTTTTCTATTTCACGTTTCCTCATCCAAAAGTAGGTGTTGTTCACTTCCATATAGTCCCCGCAGTGATGCTCATGCTGTGGGCTGCAGATGCACATTCACTTTTACCTTTCAACTGGGTACCCTTTTCAACAAGTGGGGGGCCTGGGTAGTTTAAGGGAGCCAATTGTAGGTCTTTAAATACCCCATGGACTTTTCTTCAGGTTGTTCAGCCTGAGAATGTGCCACAGGGCCTGCTCTCCCACCTTCTCTTCCCCAGCTGCCCTTCTCCCACTGTTACAGAAGAAAGGCATATCGCACATCCATCTCAAATCTTACAGAGGCTCCTGGAGGTAAAACCCACCAGGGGCCGCACAAAGGGCAGTTGAAAATATTGGTGTCTGTGTTAAAATAGTGAATGACTACGTAACACCATCTCGGGAAATGACTGGATAACAGTTTCTTTTGCAATTAAACTACTTTCCAGTTTTTTGCTCTTCAAAACTGAGAGGGGACCTAATTGAGTTGTTTGCTAATGAACTTATAGATTATTGAGTATATTTTTAATGTTATTTTTGTCACATGGCTTAACAGATTTCAAAGAATTAAGAAGTAATGACCTTGATAGTCACCTTGAAAATAGACTCCTCAGTGGTTGAGTGTGGGCCTATGAAACAGGAGGTCCAAGTTCCATTCCTGGTCAGGGCACGCACCCCCAGTGTCCCATTAGGGAGCACCCCCAGTGTTATCCAACCCACCGGGGCTCCCCGACCGGGGGTACTAGACATGCTGGATTCCATGTTCCAGTTTCTAAACAAATCTTCCCCAGAAATGACTAAAGATTGTTGGCTCTGCCTAAACCCTGAGCCCCCTTACTATACAGGCATCGGGGCAAATCTCTCCCTAGGGGAAGAGAGTACCGACATAAGGAACTACTCGGTAGACAGTACTCCCCCAGGGCTCTGTCAGTGGGGACAGCATCCAAAGCTGACTCTAGGAGATTTACAGGGAGAGGGAACCTACCTTTTCCCGGCCAACTATCACTTACAGGCCTCCCCCTACTCGTCCTCCTGCTCCAGTGACAATAGAGTTACCCCAGGAGGGTGAAGAATCTCTCATCAGGTATCTCATCGCCCCCGAAGGTACATGGTGGGCATGTAGTAATGGAATAACACCTTGTGCCTTCCCACTCGCCCTCCAGGATAAAGAAGACCCAGGTATCTGCATTTTAACTCATCTACTTCCCCAGGTTTATTACTACCCTGGAGAAGGAGGGCGTGAACGTTTAAGATTAGAACCACGAAGACCAAAAAGAGCCCCAGTGTTAGTTCCCCTTCTCGTTGGGCTTGGAATTGCTGGATCTACTGCGGGAGGATTGGCCGCCTTCATCACAGGGCACCAGAGCTACCAAGAGCTTAGTAAGCAGATAGACCTAGACCTTAGCACCCTTGAGAATACTATAGGAAAACTAGAAACTTCCCTGACTTCCTTAGCTGAGGTTATTTTACAAAATAGAAGAGGGTTAGATCTCTTATTCTTAAAGCAAGGAGGACTTTGCCTGGCTCTAGGGGAGACCTGCTGTTTTGTTTGTTTGTTTTTATAATAAATATATTTTATTGATTTTTGTACAGAGAGGAAGGGAGAGAGATAGAGAGTTAGAAACATCAATGAGAGAGAGTCATCAATCAGCTGCCTCCTGCACACCCCCCACTGGGGATATGCCCGCAACCAAGGTACATGCCCTTGACCGGAATCGAACCCGGGTCCCTTCAGTCCCCAAGCCGACGCTCTATCCACCGAGCCAAACCGGTCCCGGCAAGAGACCTGCTGTTTTTATACTAACCACTCAGGAGTTATAAGAGAGAGCTTGAGCCAGTTACAAAAGCTCCTACAAGAAAGAGAGGAACGGAGAAGACAAGAAGGAAATTGGTGCGAAAACTTATTTTCCTGGTCCCCCTGGTTAACGACCTTAATAACAGCTATAGCAGGGCCCCTCGCCCTACTCTTACTCATGTTACTCATTGGACCCTGCCTCCTCTGCAGCCTAACAGCCTTCATACAGGATAGAATTCGGGCAGTAAAGCTCATGGTCCTAATACCCAGTATCAGCCGATCCGGGAGGAGGAGTGGGAACAGCCAGAATCAACGATTTGATTCCCCGATAAGACCAGTAGGGAATGTTGTGGCCAGCAAGACCCGGTAGAGGCGGGGCTCCAGATAGCTAGCAAGACCCTGTCGAGGCAGGACTCCAGGCCAGGGAAGGAACGAGCAACCAGACCCACAACAAAGAATGTAGCATAACTGTTAGTCATAAAATAGTTCTGTTGCAAGGCTCAACCCTCAGGCAGGCACGTTCTATTTCCAGTAGCCGCAAGGCAGGACAAACAGACCAAACCAGGTGAAACAGAGACTGCTTAAGCTGAAAATAAACCCCCACCCCAGGTGTTGTATAAACTAAATGTTACTGTACTAGTGGAATTTTTCTATAACTTATAACTGACGTTTCTTTGTTAAAACTTTTAGCCAATCATAATCTGCCAGGCATCCCTAAGACGGGGATAAAAGGAGCATGCTTAGAGTGGGTCGGGGCTCTCGTTGCTCGCTGCTGTGTAGTTGAGACCTGAGCCCGGACTCGAGTTTGTAATAAAGGCCTCCTAAATTCCAATTTGGCTGACTGGTGGTCGTCATTTGCGGGTCACCTGTAACAATGCCTATGTTGTGGGCTAGCTCTCCAGTGTGGGGCATGCAGGAGGCAGCTGATCAATGATTCTCTCTCATCATTGATGTTCCTATCTCTTCCCTTCCTCTCTGAAATCAGTTTTAAAATTTTATTTTAAAAAGAAAGAAAGAAAATAGACTTCTCAAACCAGGAAATTGAGCATTCTGGATTTGTCAAGGTAGGCTGTGAACGTAGACATCAATTTAAAGAGTTTTTTCCTCCTAGGTGTTTTCTTCTCAATTGTAAAAGATGATGAACCATCACTTTTTACTTTGGGATGATTTCTCACTTGCTTTAGCACCTTGTAGGAATTCACTATGCTAAACTGAACAATTACTTGAGATTATGGTTGCAATACTTCATCTGGGATCATCTTTAAATATACTTTGTATGTAAATATTGATAAACTTGTCAGGATGATTGTGGCTGTCTGACCTCCTGAGTTATGCTTTGAAGGAATCCTACATAATCCTATATAATAAAAAGCCTAATGTGCTAAGTTGTCCAGTTGGGAGAGGGGGAGAGAAGAAGGGAGGGAGAGAACAGAGGGAGGTGGAGAGAGGAAGAGAGACCACAAGAGCAACAGCTAGCTCTCTAGTGTATCTTCTTTTTTTCTTTTTCTTTTTAATTAAAAAAAATTTTTAAACAATTTTTTTAAATTTATTGGTTTTGTTGTTGTTTTTTTTAGAGAGAGAAACATTGATTTGTTGTTCCACTTGTTTATGTATTCCTTGGTTGATACTTGTATGTTGCCTTGACTGGAAATCTAACCTGTAACCTAGGCAAATCCAGACCATACTCTAACCAACTGTGCTACTCAGCCAGGGCTAAATGCTATAATTTATTCTATCTTCATGATTACAGACAGTACAGGGCATGGTGAGTAAACAAGGCAAATAAAGCAAATGCCTTTCTCCCCCTACTTAACCAGATACAGCATTTTGGCATTCATGATATACAGATTGGGTTAATTCATTCATTGACTCAGGTTGGAAGCTGGCAACAGCTAATCTTTGCAATTTAGGATCTTCCATACCACACTCCAAGGATCTTAATGACTGAACTACACTCTGAAATGGTGTTCACTCTAACATTTTTTGTTTGTTTGTTAATTCTCATCTGAGGTTATTTTTCCATTGCTTTTTAAGGAGAGTGGAAGATAGAGGGAAAGACAGAGAGAAACATCAATGTGAGAGAAACACATCAATTAGTTTCCTCCTGCACTCATGTTGAACCTAAGACCCTTTGGTCTGAAGGCCGATGCTCTATCCACAGAGCCAAACTGGCAAGGGCATTCTAACATTCTTGAAGCTGTCATATCTTAATCTGAGATCTGACACCTCTTGTTAGGCAGAGAACTGTTAAAAGCTTCCTCTTGGCTAACCAAGTCCACCAGCAATCTTAACAGCTAAGTTACTACATAAAAACACAACCATAAAAGGACTGCATCAGGTTTGCCTTTACAGAATGCATGATATCAGACTTCCTATTTCTACTGACCTCTAATCTCTTATATGCTTGATGATGTCCCTGCCATAAGTAAAGAATTAAATCTTCCATTTCACTATTAAGTTTGCCAGCTTAATATACAAGTACTTGTGGAATTAGTTATAGTGTAAAGGAATTTCAGTCACTTGATATATGAAAATTATGTCTGACCATTTTCTTGTTGATAGAGGAGTGGAATGTGGAAGAAGGGTACATTTGGGAAGATTGGGGAAGCAGAGAGTTAAGGTTTGAAAGATGCAAACAAGCAGAAAATGAGGTATTTTGGTCTTGCTAATGCATTGCTTAACATGATTTATAAATGTTTGGTTAATAGTTAAAAATACTGCACATTGATTTATTAAGGGATTTGTATCTCTGAGGATTAATTAACCTAAAATAGATCCCATTAAATCAGATTAATATAAAAATGCCCCATAGCTAGATCTACCAAGTAAATGTAAATGTCATTATGTTATATGGACTTCCCTCCCCAAAGGTTATAGAAATTAACCATATACATGATAGTCCTGGGTTATAAGGTCTTATGTAGCAAGTATTTTTATTGAAGTGGTTTTGAATTTAAAGCAAAGGGGAAAGACTTCTCATGTTTATGATTTTTAAGATGAGTACTATGTATACTTTAGCATGAGATTTCAAGCATGTGATTTGACTGGTATCAGGCATTGTTGTTTTTCTTAACCTAATTTTGTTCATTTACCCGTGAGATGATGATGATTGATAGGACAGTTTTTTCTTTTCTCCCTAATAACAGCATTTTCACATTAAAAGAGGAATGCTTTAACTCCCTCATGAAATGCAATAATATCCACAGATTATAGATTTTTTAAAATATGTTCTTATTGATTTTATAGAAAGGGAAAGAGAGAGAAACGTCAACATGAGAGAGAAATAATGATCAGCTGCCTCCTACAGGCCCCCTCCTGGGGACTGAGCCCACAACCTGGAATGTGTCCTGAGCAGGAATCAAACCCGGGGACCTCTCAGTACATGGGAAGATACTCAACCAACTGAGCCACTCTGGCCAGGACTACAAATGATAAATTTTTTAATGACTTTCAAAAAATATACTATGGCTTTCTATGTTGGACTTTTGCCTATTTTAAGCACTTTTTGAGGTCAAATCAGTGAAATGAACAATTTCTTCATTCAAATGGATTGTCTGTTTTGGTTTCTGTTTAAGATTACCTTGGAGGAATCAGTGTATTATTTCTTATTGAGAGCTGTTTACATATCCATTACATCTCGGCCAGAGTAGCTCAGTTGGTTGAATGCCATCCTGTGTACCAAAGGTTGCCAGTTACATTCCCAATCAGGTTACATACCTGGTTCTTGGGTTCAATCCCTGATTGGGACATGTACGGAGGCCAACTGATTAATGTTTCTGTCACATCTTGATGTGTTTCTTTCCCTCTCCTCCTCCCTCCCTTCCTTTCTCTGAGCATGTCTTCAGGTGAGGATTAAAACAAACAAACAAAAAATATCCATTACATAGGGGTTTCTTTAAAAACTCATGTATCAGTTATTTTAAAATTTGTCATCTTGAATATAGAAATTTTCATTATTGTACATGATGATAAATACGTGCTTTAACAAACAAACGATTAAGTTACACGGAATTACTTCTTCACTTTCAATAAGTAAGTAGGAGCACATTTATGTAAACGAAAGAAACAGATTCTTCTAATATTTTTGTAGAACTTTGAATATGAAAACAGTTTACATTTTTATTTGATGAAAGGGCCCAGATAGAATAACACAATGGAGATAGAAGTGGTTACTATCTATATTCACTGAAAAGTCACATGTGAATTTTTTTCTCCTGTAACTAGAAATCCTTTTAAGAGGCAACTAGTAAATATTTGTCTAGGTGGGATGCCCTCCATCCAAACTGCTGGGTGTAGCTTAGATTCGTGCAGTGGGCTGCATCCATAGGGATGCTGTGAGGATTACAGCACCACCAGGAGGCCACTTTACCTACTGGTGGTGGGGGATGGAATTGGGGATTATGCCTGGTTAATATTTTTATATGACTTTTATGAAAAACTCTAACATACTCATTAAGTATGCAACTCTATATTATAAGCAAATATGTTTTCTCACTACTATAAAGGATGGCATTTAAGTTCTAATGACCTTCTTGTTGAATGGTTCAGAAATAAACTTTGAAATTCCTTATGAATGAAGAAGGAGGATGGAATTGTCCTCAGTCCAAGGTATAATTTTTAACTCTGAAATGGATCTTTGACAAAAACTGACAGCTACTTTTTTTTTTTAAACTCCAATTGGCTTTATTAAGCGATACATGAATCCACTTACCCACTAGCATTTTTATTGTAGGCTGACACATGGCATGAGTTTTCAGTCTTTATTTGTTAATGTCCTGCTTTCACTCATTAAGGGTCCAGTCCTTCTATGAGTCTTTGTAAAAAAGGTGTGGGTGTGAGGGAGTGAGAGGAGTGGGGGGTGTTCTGTTCAGATATAGCCTTCTAAGGTGATTAGGCAAAAGCCAAAGGAGATTACCATCACCCCAGGCTGTGAAGTCCCACTATAGCCATGAGGCAATATGAAATGGTGGTTAAGAGTATGAGCTTACGAGTTGGACACACCAGGATCAAATCCTGGTTCTACCACCTATGAGCCGTCTGCCTTTAGACAACATGCGCAACCTAAATCTTAACTGTAAAATCATGAAAATAATAACAGTTATTAGGATTAGATGAAATTATGTAGTTTACTTTGTTCATAATAACAACAATAATAGGGGAAGGGGGAGAAAATCATTTTTTTCTAATTTTAATTTTTTTAAATCAGAAAAGAGCAAATCCTACCATTAGACTATTACTAGATCTCTAATTCTGTGAAGCTGTGCATTTGCTAAAGGTTAATCTGCCATTAACTTAAAATCAGCTTCATTATTAGCCTTTATAGCTTATTTTGGTGTTTATTTAAGGTGGGTTGATTTTTTTTTTATGTGAAAGGCCAGACCCTTAACCTTAAATAGTAAGAAAAAAGTACTGCTTCTTCATTTTTTATTTAAGTATTAAATAATAAAGAAAAGTACATATATGATCAAGAAATAGAACCTGTTGACCCTGAATAGGAAAAGTATCTGCTAAGAAGGACTCCTGTGGTTAATGGGGCCAATTTCATAACCACTGTCTAGCAACCATTGTTTATAGAGGCCTCTCATGCTCATTTCACATCAGGGAAAAGCCACAGACAGAGCTGCTAAGCCCCTGTACTGCATTCCCAGTCTGAGCCCAATCTTTTCAAAGAAGCTCCTAGACCTTGGACAGCTCAGGGTTCTAGTGTCATCTCCATAGGCCAACTTTGGGGCAAGACCACATAAAAGAATCACTTAAGGGCCCAGCCAGAGTGGCTTAATGGTTGAGCATTGACCTGTGATCCAGGAGGTCATGGTTTGATTCCCAGTCATTGCACATGCCCAGATTGTGGGCTCAATTCCCAGGAGGGGGTGTGCAGGAGGCACTGATTAATGGTCCTCTCTCATTGTTGATGTTTAATTTTCTCTTCCTCTCCCTTTTTCTCTGAAATCAATAAAGATATATTTTTTAAAAATAGGAAGGAAAAAAAAACATAAACATGTCACCCAAGGGCTCTGGCCAGGTGGCTCAATTGGTTGGAGCATTGTCCTATGCACCAAAAGTTTTCAGGTCCTATTTCCCATCAAGGCACATACATAGGTAGATTTTGGGTTCCATCCCTGTCAGGGTACTATATGTTTCTCTTACATCTATGTTTCTCTCTCTGTTTCTCGCTCTCTCTCTCTCTCTCTCTCTCTCTCTCTCTCTCTCTCTCTCTCTCTCTTTTTCTCTCTCTCTCTCTCTCTCCTTTCTGAAATCAATTAAAAGAAAACACCCCCACCATATCCTTGGGTGAGGATTAAAAAAGAAAAGGCATCAACCAATGAATGCATAAATAAGTGCAACAACAACCCAGTGTTTCTCTCTCTCCCTTACTCTCTTTCTCTCTAAAACCAATTAAAAATTTAAAATACTTATCAAAGAAACTCCAATATTTTGACCCATGGCACTGAAACCATACCCATCCAATAAGAAACTATATCCTCATTTGCATCTTTATGTACCAATTATAGTGGCTCCATAACAACCAATCAGGACAATGCAATTAGGACTAATCAAACTGCAAACTTGGAGTCCTCGTTAAAATTGACAGTTAGTGGCCAGGGCAGGAGCTTACTCTATATAAGCCAGCTTTGTGTTTGGGGGTGCATTTTTTTGGTTTTTCTCCGGAGGCTGTATTACCCTGGTTTGCAAACTGTTTTACTTGAGTAGTTTCTCTTTTTACTGCACCCCAGATAGGGGACTCCAGTTGGTATTGGATTGGTGGCAGTGACCTTTTGTGTTGAACTGCAATTGCTAGTTTTCTAAAAATTGTACCTGTTTATACCACCCGAAATGTATGAGAGTTCCAGATGCTCCGTCTTGATATTGTATATCTTTTTCATTTAAGTCTGGTTGTAAAGTGATATCACATTGTGGTTTTCATTTGCATTTCCCTGATGACTAATGAAGTTAGACATCTTTTCAGATTTACTCATCATTCAGGTTGCCTCTTTTGGGAAGTCACAGAGTTCAGGCCTTTTATTTACATTTCTAATATGTGTTCTATATTTTCTTCTTGATCATCCCTATGATCAATTTTATCACTGTATGTCATTTTTCAGAGATATTGTTATAGCTTCTTCCACTTTTTTCAGGCTATTTTACTCTGTTAATGTTTTTTTAAAAAAATATATTTTTTATTGATTTTTTACAGAGAGGAAGAGAGAGTGATAGAGAGTTAGAAACATCGATGAGAGAGAATCATTGATCAGCTGCCTCTTGCACACCCCCTACTGGGGATGTGCCCGCAACCAAGATACATGCCCTTGACCGGAATC